TCAAAGGATGTGCCTTTTCCATGTAAAATTGTTTAAGCACTTTAGTAGTATAAGCAAACTGATGTAAAAAGATGCCACTTCCAGTGAGCTCAATTTGTAAACCAAGACAAAACTTTGTCTTTCTAAGGTCTTTCATTTCAAATTCTTTCTTCAAGTAATTTGCAGCTTTAGTGAGCTCTTCAGGAGTCCCAATCATATTTAAATCATCAACATAAACTGCAATGATTACAAACTCATATCCACATCTTTTGGTATATTGGATCATTTAAATAACCTTTCTTTATCAGATATTCACTAAGGCGGTTATACCACATTCGCCTGGCATGTTTTAAGCCATACAATGATTTACACATTTAATTCAATAAAGCTCTCGAGAACCAAATCCTTCAGAGTTCTGAAAACCTTCAGGGATTTTCATGTAAATTTCGTTATCAAGTGAACCATATGGATTGACAGTCACAACATCCATGAGAAGCATTTCTAATCTTTCACTTGTTGCCAGACTTAACAAATAGCGAAACGTTGTTGCATCCACCACCGGAGAATATGTTTCCTCATAATCAATACCCGGTCGCTGGGAAAAACCTTGTGCGATGAGACGTGCTTTATAATGCTCGATTTCATTTTTCTCATTTTTTTTCGCACAAATACGTATTTGAATCCTACCGGTTGCACATTTTTAGGTGTGCGTATTATTGGTCCAAAGACTTTATGTTTTGTCAATGAATTAAATTCTGATTGAATAGCGTCTTTCCATTTTGGCCAATCATTTCTTTGTCTGCACTCATCTATAGACCTTGGTTCTTGATCCTCATTTTCTGTGTACATCGGTTCCACTTTTGTGCCGTCATAACATAATTAATTGAGATCTCAAAACTTTCAGGTACCTGACCTTTTTCAGGAATTCGATTTTATGTTATGCCGGGATTTTTTATTTGCAAAGATTCTTTAGGAAACTTAATAATCTCGAATTCGCTATCCTGAGTGTTTGTCCCTTTTCGTTTACGAGAATTTTTATCTTTGGAACCGATAGGTCTACCAAGTTTCTGTTTTGCCCTTAATTCATGATTTGTGGTAGAAGGTCCTTCAGGGACATTAATTCGCGCAGGAACATTAACAGCTGGTACATGTGATTTAGTCACATGTTTCAAGTCAGTAAAAGTATCTGGCAATTGATTGGCTAATTGTTGCAAATGAATTTTGAACTTCTAGTTCACATTGCCTTGTACGAGGATCAAGATAAGATAATGACAATTCATTCCAACTAATATTTTTAACCAACTGTTTACTCCCCCCTCCCCCTAATGTTAGAAAACTGACTCATCAAAATGACAATCAGCAAAACAATCCGTAAATAAATCTCCAGTTTTTGGCTCAAGAAATTTTATGATTGATGGAGATTCATATCCAACATATATTCGCAACCTCCTTTGAGGTCCCATCTTTGTGCGTTGTGGTGGAGCAATAAGAACATATACCGCACAACCAAAAATTCTAAGATGAGAAATGTTTGGTTTCTTACCAAAAACCAATTTTTGGGGAGAATACTCATGATAATTTGTTGGCCTGATACGAATTAGTGCTGCGGTATGTAGCACAGCATGCCCCCAAACAGATATTGGGAGTTTAGTTCTCATAAGTAAAGGCCTCGCTATCAACTGGATGCACTTTATAAACGATTCTGTATTAACATGAGCTACAGTATATTCAACTTTAATCCCAATTGACAAACAATAATCATTAAAAGAGTGGGATGTAAATTCACCAGCATTATCCAAAGGTATTGTTTTAATAGGATTATTTGGGAACTGTGCTCATAACCAAATCAACTTTTCAAGTAATTTCGCAAACGCCAGGTTGCGAATTGATAATAAGATACATGTGACCATCTAGTTGATGTATCAATTAAAACCATACAATAGCAACATGGCCCACAAGATGGGTGAATAGGCCCACAAATATCACCATGTATACGTTCTAAGAGTTGAGGAGATTCGTTACGAATTTTCATTGGTGATTGCCTTGTAATTAATTTGCCTTGAGAACAAGCAGCACAAGAGAATTCTTTAGTTTGAAGAATCTTCTGGCTCTTTAAAGAATGACCATAAGAATTCTCTAGAATTCTTCGCATCATAATAGAACCGGGATGGCCCAATCGGTCATGTCAAATAATAAAGTCATTATAATTAGTCAACTTCTGGTTTACCGTTGCATAATTTTCAATTGTAGTAATATATATGTAATATAATCCGGAGGAATATGAAGGTAATTTTTCTAAAATATTTTTATTCCCAACAACATTACTCGTAATATACAAGTATTCAATGTTACCTTCACAACAAGTCTCTATATGATATCCATTTCGGCGAATATCTTTAAAGCTTAACAAATTTTGTTGAAACTTTGGGGAATGTAATGCATCATTAATGCAAAATTTAGTGCCTCCAGGCATTACTATATTTGCTCTTCCAGAACCTTCAATTAATTTTGTACTCCCAGGTATTGTACTAACATGGAATTTTTTCAACACTATATGAGAAAAAATATTTTCTCTCTTTGAGTATTGAATGTGTTGTTGCACTGTCTGCTAGACATATTTCTTTGTCATTGCTGATTGCGACATCCATTATCTTCAAAAATAAAAAATTCTAAATAAGAATATTTTTCTTTTATTTAATACAAAAGTAAAGTAATGGACAATAAAATAAACATAAATAAGAAATATTTTATTGAAATTCATCAAATGAAAAATAAAATTCATTACATCAAGTTCAAAATATAAAACCTATCTCTAAGGGAAAAAACCTATCTCTGAAAGACATTTTAGCATTGACTTCACCTTCAGGGTGATTGACAAAGAAATCAACAAAATCTATAATAACAAATTCAGTAAAACCATTGTCAACAAAACCATGGTTAACATCAACAACATCATTCTAGATGAAATTTGTCTCTATCTTCTTTTCTGCTTTCTTCAATGATTCCTGATAGAGATCTGCAAGATGTTTTGGTGTATGACAGATACGCGACCAATGGTTCATCATGCCACATCGAAAGCATTTGTCACCATCTTTCTTTTTCTTTCCATTCTTATCATTATTAACTCCCAACTTCTTGTGGGTAGTATTCTTGTTATGACCACCACGGGTGTTATGACGGCTTTGATTACGACCACGACCCCCGCAATGACCACGGCCTTGAGCTTGTCCATTATTAGGATGCGTTGCTATCGCATTTGCTTCAGGAAATGGAGCAGCACCCGTTAGACGGGCCTCATGATTTTTCAGCAAGAGCTCATTATTTTGTTCAGCAAGAACTAGGACGTAAATCAATTTTGAATACTTTTTATATCCCTTTTTACGATATTGTTGTTGCAGGAGCACATTAGATGCGTGAAACGTGGTACATATTTTCTCTAGCATCTCCACATCAGAGATCTTTTCATCACACAATTTTAATAGGGAAGTGATTTGAAACATAGTTGAATTATATTTACTAACAGATTTAAAATCTTGCAAACGCAAATGCATCCACTCATAACGAGCCCTTAGGAGAATAACAGTTTTTTGATGGTCATACCTTTCATTCAAACTCGTCCATAAAGTATATGGATATTTCACTGTCAAGTACTCTACTTTCAGATCTTCATGAAGGTGGTGACGGAGAAAAATCATGGCTTTGGCTTTCTCTTGATTTGTAGTGTTTTTTCCAGCTTTGATTGCTACTTCTAAGCCATTTGAAATGAGATCGATCTCAGCATCAAGAACCCAAGACAAATAGTTCTCCCCAGATATGTCAAGAGGGACAAATTCAAGTTTCGCACGGTTAGACATCTTGATAAAAGAAACAAAAACAATTGACAACACTTACCCAACAGGAACTAACAAGAGGTAGAGACTCGTGCTGATAACGTGTTATAAATATAAAGTGAAAAATAAAGTTATAAAGCTGAGAGAAAGAACAAGTAGGGAGAGAGAACAATAGAGAGGGAGAAAGAGAGAATGATCTGGATATTATTTCTGCAGAAACTGCTCTCCTTTTATAGGCAAAACAGATATAGAGATAAGAGCAAATAGAGATAACATTTAACTTGTGATAATATCTAATAAATATTATCTCTATACAATGAATTCCTATACAGCTTTACTAATTTGTTGACATCCACATTATCAGATAATTATAACAAATCCTTTTTTTCTTCATATCTCGAATACATCCATTGGGGAGATATATATATATATATATATATATATATATATATATATACCTACCGCTTACACGAAGAAAGATAAAAATAAAATGTTTGATTTGGAAAATCATAGTTCATTGGAAATTAAAATAATATTCTCTTACAAATAAAAATACACAAACTCCTAATGACACTCCATATGTGTGTTTTTTTAAGTATCATAAATTTAATGTGGTTATGCTATTAGTGTTTTTCTTTATTAATATCACATGTCTACTTTTGTATTTATATTATGTATTCTTTTTTTTTTTGGCTCAGAATTGAATAAAATGTTGAATAATACATGTGCAATCATTTAAATCGATTCAATTTAGACTTATGCATTTAAAAATTTTATTAATATACACAGCAGTAATAAATTAAATATTATTTAATTTACAAGGATTGTTTTATAAAATGCACAAATTAACTAAAATTTTTAAAACAATAAAAATTCAGGCTCCACATTAGTGTTTTTTTTTTTTTTTTTTGAAACACCAAATTAGTGCTTGATGAACATTTCCTAGATTTGGACGCTTACTGTACATGAAACAGGCAATTGGTGCCATGAAAAGACACGTTTGGCTTACATTTTTGTCACCGGTTTGGCCTAACCTCAACCAACTAGCGCATTTGTTTAATCTCACGACCTCAATCAGATAATAGTCACAACGTCCGAACCCAAATCCCCAATCGGATTCCCATTAAATAAACAGCTCCTAAACTATACATTAACTTAAGAAGAATTTTTTCTATTTAAAGGAAAAAAAATGGAATTATATAAAGTCCACATCACTCATGTATAGTCATTTTAAATAAGAATTTCTCAGGTTCCTTTCCCATTTGAATGTTACAAAAGTCATTAGTTGATTATTAATAGAATGCTTAAAATTCCAAATCTTTACAAAATTCAAGGATTAGTTTCATCGTACCTTACAGTGTAATTCATCAGTAGTCAGTACCTATAAATGTACATTTGTAAACTTGTGGATAGAATTTTGGAAATAACGAGGGAAATAAGTGTATTTGTAATTTTGGAAAGAAATCAATCATTTTGGTTTTGGGAGTACTTACAAAAATTTACAATCACTACACTGATGAGTAACGCTGTACCTTACTATATTGAATTAACGTTGACTTTTGATTACCGTCCATTTTTTTTTTTTTTTCTATAGTACATTATCAAACTTTTCCTCCATACTTCCTACTTCATCATCCACCTTCCTTTCTGCGAACCTCCGATTGCTTGATCAAGTAAGCAACAAACTTCTATCCCTTTTTTCTTCCTGGATTGATGCTGTCATTTTTTTTAAAATTTTAATTTTTGTTCATTTTACTTGATGGTGTTGAGATTTAAGGTTGATTATCGCCGTTGACTAATTAAGTCGTCCGTTTGTGTAAGTTTGTTTGTTAGCTTCAGGGTCTAATTTTTGGTTTTCTTGTGTTTTGTTTCCCTTTTTGATTTCGGAATGAGATATGGTGATTAGGGTTTGATTTGTTAGTGAAACTAATTTCGAACGGGAAATGGGTCCAATTCTGAACTTGGGGATATTTTGATTTTTCTATTCTTTTTTTAAATTTTATTTGAGGAATTGTGGTGGAAGCAAGAGAGTATCAATGAGTTCTCTCCTTAGTTGATGTCAGTGGACCTTTGTGTTGATTATTCTCATGGAAAATTATAAAATGGAAGTTGAGGGAAGCTCTATTCTTGTTGACATTTTGAGGCTGAAAGGAGAAAAGATTGTGTTGATTGTACTTGGTCCGGGAAACAGATTTTGAGGACTGTAATTATGCATTTCTATCCTTCTTTTGTTTTTTCTGATAGAAAATGTTTGAAAATGCTTCTATTTTGTGAATGTTTGAAAACATTGGTATGCTGTTTGCATTTTTCTTTTCTCATTCCCGGTTTTGAATTTCTGCAAATAAAATGGTTTTAGATCTCGTCTTGAGCTGCAGCTTCTCTTTGGAACTTGGAATTTTGAGCTTCTCATGAGCAAAAAGTATAGTTTGAGCATAAGAGCATACTTCTCTGTAAAAGAACATGAGTTGAACATAGTTGAGGGATTGATTCCAGGCGTTATATTTCTAGTACTCCTTTCAATCTCTCCAAATTATCAGTATTCTAGATTTAGATGGATTGCATTTCTTTCAACAATCTTAGGCTTCTATACATATTCGTGTTGATGACACATAAAAGATTTGCAGTCGATCACTTGTTTGTTGTTTATCTTGTAAACAATTTTTTACTCAATGTCTTTCATGTGCCAATGTTTTACACGTCCTGAAATTTGGAGATTGACCATTTGATCTGCTGTCTCAATTTGCAGCTGCAGACATGGGTACTTCATTTAGATCTGCGCTGGTTTCATTTCTGTTGTTGTTTGTTCTGTCCTCTGCTTTTTTATCAACATCTGGCACGAAGCTTATCAGAGTTTCGCTTAAAAAAGCCAAGTTGGACCAAGTCAATCGGCTTTCTGGAAGTAATAATTTTAATGATGGGAGTTCAATAAGAACTTATGGCCCTCGTGGAACTCTGGAACCATCTGAAACTGACATTATTGCTTTAAAGAACTACATGGATGCTCAGTACTATGGTGAAATCGGTATTGGTACGCCTTCGCAAAAATTCACCGTGATATTTGACACTGGAAGTTCCAATCTATGGGTGCCCTCGGCTAAATGTTATTTTTCGGTGCGTGGTTGATGGTACTTTAGTGCATTCAGGTTTTGATTCTTACATTTTCACATCTTCTTATATGCTTGACCTTTCTGGCGTGAACCTTTTCTACTCCATGCAGGTCGCTTGCTATTTCCATTCAAAGTACAAGTCAAGCCATTCAAGTACTTATAAGAAAAATGGTACTACAACTGAGCATGTGTATTCCATTTATTCCTAAATGTCTTCTTCTTTTAGTTATTATCTCTGCATATTTATTTTATACTTCTCAATGTGGCATTTCTTGCATTTTATGTGCCGAAAGTTTTTGAACTTCAAAGTTTCGCCCATATAATCTTTGTTCTTTATGGTGCGTTTTGCTACTATTGTGGTTTATATTGAAGCAACTGTGTTATGAATTGCACTAAAATTTTGAGGCAGAACATCTGTATTTTAAACTGTCAATCTTTCAAAAGGCGGTTGTTATGCTTTTAACATTTACAGACAGAAAACCAGGCCTATCTATAACAAGAAATGACACTGTGAAGAGATTTTGTTAATGTTTTGAGTCATGGTGACAATCTGCATACTATCTTTATGATACTTTAAAGAATCAATTCTTGCTTTGGCTACTTCCTTTTAGCTTTGTAAGAAGCTAGTGTAGCTTACATGGTTAATAATCTTGGAATAGGTAAATCTGCTGAAATCCATTACGGAACTGGATCAATCGCTGGCTTCTTCAGCCAAGATCATGTAAAGCTTGGAGATCTTATTGTCCAGGAACAGGTAACCTCCACTGGCACACATGGATATTAGTTGGGGATCACATGTTCATATTGATTGGGGATCCACATATTGATTAATTGCTCATCAGGATTTCATTGAGGCAACCAAAGAGCCTGGGATTACCTTTTTGGCTGCCAAGTTTGATGGTATTCTTGGACTTGGATTTCAAGAGATCTCTGTTGGGAATGCTGTTCCTGTCTGGTACATAAATGTGTATTCCCTTCTAATGGGCCGATGGCAAATTGATCCACCTTAATTCAGATGACAACTCTTAATTAAACTACTAATTCATATTTAAATTTTCCTCGGGATATGTTCATGTGAATTTTGAATTCCTCAGGTACAATATGGTTAAACAAGGTCTTGTTGCAGAACCTGTCTTTTCATTCTGGTTTAATCGCAGAACAGAAGAGGAACAAGGTGGTGAACTTGTTTTTGGGGGTGTTGATCCTAGTCACTTTAAGGGTGACCATGTATTTGTTAATGTAACTCGGAAGGGTTATTGGCAGGTGCTATTCTTGCTTTTTTACTTTTTAGGGTTGGTTTAACTTGGGCTTGGTTCTGATTTAGTTTATGAATCTCGCAGTTTGATATGGGTGATGTGCTAGTTGGTGGGGAATCAACAGGTAACTTTGTAGATTGTGTTTTGCAGAAACATCACCATACTAGAACCACATTTCTTATCAGTACTTATTATAATTTCCTTTCTTATCAGGGTTCTGTGCTGATGGTTGTGCTGCAATTGCTGACTCTGGAACTTCCCTGTTGGCTGGACCTACAGTATGTACAAATAGTTCAGTTACATTTAACCACATAAATGTGATACACATTAATAATATGGAGTTTTCATCTCGTCAAGCCCTAGGATTGCTTCTGGACTTGTCAAAAGATATAAATGAAACTAAAGTAGAATGATTCGTGGCTTCAGCAAGTTTGTTTTAGCCTAAATTTCATCTTATTAGAATCAGTAATCGAAACTTTTCTTGATCTATTGGCAATGAGGTGCTTCTGAACTTAATCAACCTTAACCGAAGTAATTCTTTCCTTTGCGGTGGATCTTCATTATATCATTGTTGTTAGTTGGATACATATTCCCATTATAAACTAATATTTGAATTTGTCCACTATCTGCAGATTCAATAATTATCCAATCCGTAAGTCATTTATGCAATTTATTTTCCTTTTGGTCAGACTGTTGTAGCTCAAATTAATCATGCTATTGGAGCTGCTGGTGTCGTAAGCCAGGAATGCAAGTCGGTGGTTTCTCAGTATGGCAAAACCATACTGGATTTGTTAATAGCCAAGGTATATTTTGAGCCTTATAGACTCTAAATTAGTATACTGTCTGGCAAGTTACTTTATCATATAACTAAACTCTTTAATTTTTCGTCAAGTTTCCATAGACCATTTTATCATATATCAACTTACTTAATGTTTCTTCATGTTGCTATAGACTGAGCCCCAAACTATCTGCAAGAAGATTGGTTTGTGCTCATCTGATGGTTCTAATGGCATAAAGTAAGTAACCAAGTTCATTATGCTCCTATTATGTCTTCACTGTTGTCTATCACTAGTGGCACGGGTAGGATAAACCTTACCAATGACAACGGTGGTTTTGGTGCAAGTTGTTTACTTTAAATAATCACCTCGCTCATGTACCTCCATTTCTTACACCCTTTTTCTTGTACTGAATTGATTTTCGCAGTTCACAAATTACTCACTTACAGTTCGTTTTGAACAATTTTGTCCCTGAACCCTTACCTAATTACAAAAACCTAATAATAATATCCTGGACAGTACCTTTTTTTTTCAATTTTTTGTGTTATTTTTATATTTTTTTTTGTATAATTACTTTAGTTTTATATTTTGTGTTATTGTTCAATTAATTTAGTTAAATTTATTTATAATTAATGTAATTAGTGTATGTTTTGTTATTTAGTTGTAATTAATTTACTCAAAATATAACAAAAATAACTAATTCATCTACGTAAACAATATTTATTAAAGCCTACAAATTAATACTAACTAAATACCACATACCTAATTACAGAAACCTACTCAAAATGTATTTATCATATAATTTTAATACAATATCTAGTTCATTCTTTATTTGAATATAACCAATAAATTATAATAATAATAAAAAACTTATATTACCTAATTTCTCCATTTAATCTACACTAATTATTAAAATAAATTAATTATACCTAATAAATTCAATTAAATTAAAAAATGTTATTAAATCAGTAAATATAACACAAAAAATAAAACTTAAAGTAAATATGAAAAAATAATAACAATTACACAAAAAAATTAAAAAAAAATTGAAATTTTTTTTTTGCCCCAGGGTGGCTAGTCGTCGGGTCGGCTACCTTTTGAAGGTTGGCCGGTTTAGTCACCGGCCAACCTTCAAGAGGTGGCCAGCCGTACCTTTTCTTTTTTTTTTCCCAATTTTTTGTGTTATTTTTATATTATTTTTTGTATAATTACTTTAGTTTTATATTTTGTGTTATTGTTAAATTAATTTAGTAAAATTTATTTATAATTAATGTAATTAGTGTATGTTGGAGAAGAAGAAAGAGTTCAGGAGAAAAATTGTCCAAAACGAACTGTAAGTGATTACAAACATGCAAAGCAGTCCCTAGTATTGCTTGTACTGATTTGTGGTTTTTGCCCTTAAATGTTGTCAATAAGGGCTTATGTAGAAGCACCTTTCTGGTTGCTTTGCAACAACATTTTTTGGCTTCATGTAATTACAAAAGCAGGAAATGAAATGTGATTGATAGTGCAGTTATAAAGGTGTAAAAGATTATAAAGTTCTTAGTAATTTTTTTATTTATTATTATTTTTTTTGACAAACCAATCATATGGCATCAGATTGAAGCAACAAATAAGAACTGTAACGCATTCGAGATATTAGAATTTTCTTTGCTGTTTACAACTTGCTCAAAGTTGCTTCTTACGCTTGGTGTTTGTATCTGAATTTGTCTGCATACTGAGCATTGTATCTTTCTGTAGTATGTTCATCAAGAGTGTGGTGGAGGAGACAGATTGGGCTTCTGATGCTCGTCGTGATGATGAGATGTGCTCTGCGTGTGAAATGGCAGTTGTATGGATGCAGAATCAACTTAGACGCAATCAGACTGAAGATAAAATTTTGGACTATATTAATCAGGTTGGTTAGCTTCAAGACTTATGTATGATTGATTATAGATTTGTTGGTTTTGGGATCTCAAGTTTATCTGATGCCACAACCACAGCTCTGTGAACGACTGCCTAGTCCAATGGGAGAATCAGCTGTTGACTGCGGTAGTCTTGCTTCAATGCCAAAGATCTCTTTCACTATTGGTGGAAAAACATTCGTATTGAACCCAGAGGAGGTAAATAAATATTAATCTGTCCCCTCTCCTGTCTTTCAACTATGCTTTGTGTACTGTGGGGTGTAAAGAACGGTATACTAAAACTTATAGTACTACGAACTGATTGAATATTACTCTTGTGAGTGCATTAGAAAGAAATATCGATAGCACTAGGAGATGAGTGAATGGAGAAGCACGCTTAAGATGGTTTGGACGTGTATGTAGGAGATGAGAAGCCCTGGTAAGCTAAGTTACAAACATATCACCATGAAATTGTCTTAAAGGGAATGGGAAGACTTAGAAAGAATTTGCAAGAAGTGATTGAAAGGAAATGCCACATGTTTAAACCTAATGAGCATGTTGATTGGCAGGGCAGAATAACATTATTTCCGAACCCTCCATTACAGGATAAAGGTTTACTTGTTATCACTCTGGTTAGATTCATATTCTACTATGAAGTCAATATGGACTAAAATGGGGATCAGAGGAGCTAGATTTGATAGGAAGTTATCGAACTCATAAGCCTCTCCAGACATTTATTGTTCACGCAAAGAGATGGAGAATTAATAATGGTCAAACTATTGCCAGAGATGTTTGGGAAATAAAGCAACCATTTGGAAACCAATCTTTCAAAGTTCATGAAGAATACAAATCATTATTTTAAGATTATAATTGCTATTCAGAGCTCCGCTTTTCTATATGTCATCTTTCCATATGAGTTCTACTGTGATTTAATGCGTGGCAATGCGAAGCAGACTGTAGCTTTTACCCATTATTACTGCTTGTGGCTTTTCAGTATGTCCTGAAAGTTGGTGATGGAGCTGCAGCTCAGTGCATCAGCGGATTCACGGCGTTAGATGTGCCTCCTCCTCGTGGACCCCTATGGTATTTTATAGGCTTTTTGATCTCCTATACGTTTTTATTATTCTAAATCCTTTCTTGTTAAATATACGTCTATCTGGTAAAACGCTGCATAGTTTCCGTGACTCAAAAGTTTGTGTACTGAAAAGCATCCACTCTACTAATAACTTTTAACACTGGTCTCTGACACTGTCACGGGTCATTCTCGTGTTTAATAAGTGAACATTCTGTGACTACTTGTTGCTTACTTGTCAAGTTGTTACTTGCGAAAGAATAACCCATCATACAATGGCAGTGCATATCAACACATGCATTTAGTTCAGAAACTAACCTTTCAAATTCACTGTTGTGTCTCTTTTCATGAATGGGTTTGTTTCACAACAGGATTCTCGGAGATGTTTTCATGGGGCGTTACCATACAGTGTTCGACTATGGAAACCTGAGAGTCGGATTTGCTGAAGCAGCATGAAACACATTATAGAGTGTGTTCAAATCAAATAATGACCTTAATCGGTAGTGATCATCGTTCAATCACCCTGCTGTTCTCATCATCTCTGTAATGTAATATCTGTGTGTACATACTGCCACAAGAGCACCAAATACTATACTGTACCTGACTGTGTTTAGAAGGAAAAATGAAAAACTAAAACTATAACCTCTAAATGGATTATAAAATTCCCCTTTTCATATGCTTTTTTCACCTTTTTTTTTTGTTCTTTCCTTCACTCTCAAATGCTGTTGTGTATGCCAAAAAAAGAAGAAAAAAGAAGTCACCCACAATCTCCTGGGCGAATCGTGGCTATCAAAAAAGGTTGCAGAAAAAATATGCTACTGCATTATTTTTGTGTCTGTGTATTTTTATTTTTTTTTCTTGTGATGTTTCAATTCAATAAATAAGATTTCTTTACTGGAACGTAAACTTTGAGAGAGTAATAAGTAGATGATCAAAGACCAAGACTTTAAGACCAGAACAGAAACTAATTTCTGGCATTATTATAGAAGTTCATGTCCGCCGGCAAATTAATGAGAGTTGGTATTAACTATTAAGACGCACAAGGAACTAAAAGAAGAATAATCGTCCCTCAAACCAGATCCACGAAATGCTGAGACTGTCAATTCCCGATTGTACCTAATGAATAATTGTTAGTTTTCTTTTAACCATGTCAAGACGAACTTCAAATATCTATCATTATATCTTTTACCCTTTTATTTTGGAAAGCTAACGTTGAGATTTAATAAGCATTTGAGGTTATTGATGAGTATCAAAATGGATTTATGCCTGGCAAAAACATCTGCAAGAATATTTTTATAGTTCATGAGGTCATTGAATGTATAAAGAAGCAAAAGTGTGTTCATGGATTGGAAGCCACTAAGCTTGATATGAGTAAAGCTTATGATCGAGTTTCATAGTCTCTTTTACGGACAGTTCTTCACAAGGCAAACTTCCCTCCAAGATTGATAGCCTTAATTATGCATTATGTCTCCTCTGTCTCTAATTCCATTCAATTCAATGGCGAAAGTCTACCATCCTTTTCTCCGAATAAAGGTTTGAAGGCAAGGTTGTCCTTTGTCGTCGTATCTGTTTATTGTGTCAACGGGTTCTCTCCTCAGCAAATAAATTAGAGATCCAGCACTTTACTGGATTAGGAGTCAGAATAAGTCATCATGCGCCTAGGGTGAGTCACCTTATGTATGTAGATGATAGTCTTTTCTTTATTAAATGCAAGGAGTCAGCTGCTTTAGCTCTGGCAGGACTACTGGAAAATTATACCAAATTTTCAAGTCAGCATATTAATTTTCAACAAGTCTTCTATTCTCATCAGTGATAATACTAGTCAGAATATGAAGCGCTTTATGCATTCTACTCTTAAGATTTCGATAGGAAGGTTTCATAGCAAGTATTTAAGAATGAGCCTGGATTTTAATGAAAAGAAGACAACCATTTTCAACGAGTTTACTGCAAAGATTAGTAATAAGTTTGCATCATAGAAAACCAAGTTGTTGTTGTTGCTTCCACGAAGAGTGACTCTAGCCAAATCAATTTTATCCTCAATGTTGGTGCATCTAATGGGAGTATTCAAGTTATCTGTTTACACATTGAAAAAGGCATACCCGATCACTGGTAATTTTGTGTGGAAAGGGGATAATCAAGACAAGAATTTTCATTGGCGAGCGTGGAAGAAAATCACAAAATCTACCTTTCATGGAGGATTGGATCTCAAAACTATAAAGGAATTCAATCAGGCACTTCTTGCTAAACATGCATGGAAGATAATGTCTGCACCTCATTCTTTGTTGGCTAAACATTTCCGTGCCAAATACTGTCTAGATGGTGTGTTCCCTCCGGTACAACCTCCCAGAAATCCTTTGTGGGGATTCAAAAGTATAATGTGGGGAGCTGAGTTACTACAAGATCACATTAAATGGAAAGTGATTTCAGGTAAAGATATTCCTATGTCAGCAAACTGGATTCCTGACATTCAAAATCCAATCAGTGCAAAGTCCATTCTAGTCAATTCTAATTTGAGAGTGGATCATTTTATTAATTCAAATGGTCAATGGAAAGTCCATGCACTCAGAAATTTCTTCCCAAATCGAGTTATTCCCCACATAACTGGCATTTTTATTGATCCAGCAAGGCAGAATCAGAGGGATAAACTCCATTGGGAATCCTCAGATCATGGCAACTACACTGTTAAAACAGGGTACCATTTGGCTATTAATGCCCATCTCCCACAACCTGCTCAAGATCCAATAATTATGAATGCGGAAAGGATAGCAGAAATACGCCTTTGGAATTCAGTAGTTCAACCTAAACACAAATTTCGGTTTTGGATATCTCTACTGAATGCTCTTTCTACAAGATCCGAATTAGCTAAGAGAGGCGTCCAAGTGGATGAAATTTACCCAAGATGTTCTAAACACGTTGAGGACAATTTACACTTATGCTTCAAATGAGAGGCATTCCAGGCTTTGGCTTTCCTACGGTTTGGTTCTATTTTCAATACCACATATGATTCTCTGCTACAATGGTTTATTGCTTGGATTCAGACACATCCGTCTAAACAAGAGGTAGACTTCTTCCTAAATATTATTTAGAGGATATGGCTGGAACGCAATGATAAAATTTGGTAGAATCAAAGTAATGATCTGACGGTGTCGTAGAGGCTCATTCAAACTGAGGTCAGTCTTCATCAACAGAACCGATCCAGAATCAAAGCTAGAAGATCTTCCACTCAACAATACCCGAATAGGAATCCAACGGATGTTTTAGTCATATTTGATGGATCATTCAGTCACCAATCAAGGAAAGCAGCTGGAGCATGGAAGATCATATCACCACATGGGATGGTGATGCAAATCAAAACGGTAGATCAAAATGTGCTTTCTCCTTTTCAGTTGGAGGCAATGACATGTCTTCTGACTTTGAAGGAAGCAGCAAATTTGGGTATCACTAGTCTTATGGTGTACACAGATTGTGAAGCTCTTACCGGAGATTTGTGATCCCCTGGTATCCTTTCGGAGGCCCAAAAGGTGGTCTCTTTATTGAATAGTATTATTTCTTCTTTTCAATCATGCACAATGAGTAAAGTAAGTAGACAAGATGTTGTAGAATTGCATAACCTAGCATATAATAGAATGCGTTGTAATAGCATATGTATCTTTTCTTAATTAATATACAGGTACATTATTTTTTAAAAAACAAAAAACTTAATCCTTTCGCTCGGATTGTAATACTATCTACTTAAGAAGTAATTCATTTTGTTATATTATTTCAATTAAAAAGTTAGCACGAAAGAAGAAAAAATTAGAAAATTCTGGAGGAAAGAAAAATAAAAAAGTGAGGAGAAGCGAAAATTATAAAACAGGAATTTTATTAAGATGATTTGGGTTGGGCAGATTCATCATCAGTCTCCCAAAATTGACATGACAAAGTACAACTGTTTGATCATGTTCTGTACATCTGTTGATCAGAGTTTTACCAACTTTACTACTCACTTTTCCATCCACTAAATTCATTGAATCCTCATCACACCCAGAATTCCTCTTCCTCCTCCTTTCCAGCTTCTTCACGCCATCACGAGGATTATGATCTGTCAATGACCCAGAATTTTCCGTGTCCGAAAATTCTCGTACTAACTTTTCATTGTTGTTATCTCCTCCTCTGACGGTGATCCACGTTTCGTCCCAATCCCAGCTCGGTTTTGCTGAATTACAGCACAATAATTGTACCCTTTGAGCCGGAAATGATGAATTTGGTTCCTCTTCTTCCTCAATTGAGTCCCAAATATCTTGATCAAGAACACAAGTTGGAGAAACTGTACTGAACTCCTCCTGCCTCCTCTGTTTCAAAACAGGGGAATCCATAATTCGAAGAAATTGATGATTCAGAAGTTGTTCTGCTGTCCAGCGTTCTTTTGGATTCCTTCTTAAACACTTTCTGAGGAAATCCTTCGCTTGATCGGACAAATTCCGGGGGATCTCCGGCGATTCCTCTGAGAATGCAATCTTGTACATTAATGATTCCACATTGGTAGCATTAGGCCATGGGGAACCGCCGGTGGCCATTTCGATCACAGTGCATCCTAACGCCCAAATATCAGCCGGAAACCCCTGATCCTCTCCGCGAGCCACTTCCGGCGACATGAATAACGGAGTCCCACCAGTTCTTCCGGCCAATTTTTCCTCCCCTGCCCACTTTGCGCATCCAAAGTCGGCGATTTTGGGACCATTTTCGCGGTCCAGCAAAATGTTGGCGCCTTTAATGTCACAATGTACTATTCCATTTCCATGTAAATACTCCAAACCTTCAACCACGCGCCTCGTGTAGTACCTGATCAATTGCTCCTCAATTGGACCGCCTTTTCTGCGAATGGCGTCGGAAATCGTTCCGTCCGGGCAATATTCCAGCATGAGGTTGAACAAAAGCTTCTTGTTCTCCATACTAATATCATATCCCCTGTACCCAACTATAAATGGACTATCCAATGAGGACAATATTTTCTGCTCCCTTTGCAAGAACCCGGATTTAGATAGCTCCGTCGTCTTCACCGCGAAAACTTCCCCGGTGCGGCAGCAAGTGGCGGCCGACACGGTCGCCGTCGAGCCATTTCCGATTATGTGCCCTCTTGTCCAAGCCATTCTTTAATTTTTCTTTCTTAAAGGAAGTTGAGAAAAAAGGAAGAAAAAAGGAAACTTTGTAGACTTTCCGAATTCAATTGAGTTGGTTATATGTAGAGTGTGGGGTTAAAAAGGGTTAATATATATAGTGTAGTGTAGCGTGAGTTAGAATAACTTGATGACCACTTCTTGTAAGGCATGTGTCCAAATTAGTTGGGTAGAAGTACTCAAAAAAAAAAAAATGTTGCCTTTTTTCTTTTAATTGCTTATTTCTTTGGAGTTGGATTTTGCTTATTTCTTCAATTGGAAACCACAACGTGGCATAAGCATTAAGGGGGGGTAGCAAACTTTGGTGAATTGGCAAACTGGGTTGTTGACATGTGGCATCAAAATGTTAGAAGCCAAGTGAGGGGAAAAAAAAAAAGAGAAAGAAAAAAATTTGGTAGAAGTGATTTGGTAAAGTACAGGTGGATGAAATAGAAGAAATGTATGAAGTTGGAAGTGGTAGATTGGATTGGATAATCCAAAATCCGTCTAACTTTTGGATGCGTTGTTTTGTATCGTACCCATGTTGATTCCTTTTTGAATGAAAGTTGAATTTTTATTTTATGGCATATGTGATGTGAGAAAGGGTTGAATTTTGTTGGGGTTGACCAAACTTATTGAATTCGTTTTTCTGAAAACAAATATCCTCTTTTCTGTTGTTCCCAAGGATACTTTCTTTGCTACTTTGCTCCATTTTGATCTTGAGCAAAGGTGAAAATGATTATAATAACTATCAACTCTAAGTTCACAGTTTGTCTAATTACTCGTTCATTTGTTTAACTTTGCAAAATTTGAAGTCAGAAGAGATTTGGATAAGTGGATACTCCCAATTTCGTGGAGTAATACAAAATAGTAGCATCTAAAACAAGTCAAAAGCAAGGATAATTCTTTATATCCACAAATTTTGCATCATCTGGTCATTTCATTTCTATCTTATTGTATTTATTCCGAAACTATTATCCAATTCGAATTTTATTTTTAGTATAAATTACACTAAAAATGAAAATTTCAAATAAGATATATTTTTTTAATTGTCTTTATACTTTATCTTAAACAGGATTCGTTTCTAAAACGTGTTGTTCTCTTCTAACCAGTGAGTTAATATCTCTTTTCCAAATCTTAATTGTTTTCGTTACAAAAATTCAAGGAGCTGGGAAGGATTATGCAGTGGAACCTAAACCAAGTTTCTGAAAGTTTGCAAAGTCTAATGATGCTTACTATTTTATGTATTGGATCTGTTGGGTACATCTGAAATTATGGGAGATTGGAGAATCGCAAAATGGTAGTTTGAATTTAAGTGTGAAAAAGCATGACATCAACCTAATGTAATACTACCTTCACAGTCCACTTACTCCTAGTTTTTAAAGGAAGTTTTGTCTAAATAATACTGTATACTGTAGTCAACATTATAATTTGTGAATTATATTATTTTTAGTACAATTACAAAGTATAATGTAGGTTATTTTTATAGTACGGAGGAAGAAACGTTTAATTAATTTGTTGCTAATCCTGATTTTTGCTCTGTGAATAAAATCGCTTTTTTATAATAATATATTGCTTTTGTTCTAAAATAATTTTTACTTTGAAGCTTAACTACGTGATACTGTGATAGTGGTACTAACATTTTTATTATCTATTTGCGACTAATCTACCGCATCAGTTAATAAGTGCAGGTTGATAAGTTAGTTAACAACTTCGTTGACACATTAAAAGCAAAGAAAACCATCACTAAACCCTCACTTTGTTTTCTCACAAGAACATAATTTTCCCCTTCTCTTGAGGACTTCTGAAGAAGTAATGATTAAAGATCATTTTTTGTGGTGCATTTGCTTTCTACTTTTTCGTTAGCCAGGTTTCTAGAACAACGTTAGGCTACGTTTTCATCATTCTCAATCAATTTTTTTAATATGAGATGTTTTATTTTCAACATCCAGTAATATTAATACATCATTTTGTTGAAACATGAATGTACATGAATATGAGGGAATGACAAAAGCGATAAATTGTAACCTTTGAAATCTTTGGTTTGAATTTAGATAAATGCAATAATCACAAAGGAAAAGAGGTCTTACATTTAAATACTATTTCTACCCAACTTTTTTAGAAAATTAGTTTATATTTGAATTTCGACATTTATATTATTTTTAGTACAAACTCAGAACTCAAAGTAGGGGCGGAGCCAAGTAGAACCGAGATGGGACAATTGACCCAGCTGGATTTTTCTTCCTTACCTTAATTTACCCTTAAATTTATTTAAATTTCTCAATATTCTTCATTTTTGTCCGAATAAAAATTCAAAAGACAAGGGGTATAAACAAAAACTATAAAATAACTTTGATTTGGAGAAAAAAGTTTTTAATGACAGGTTAATTTTCATTAGATATATAATTTATTATGCGGATTATTTTTATGAAACAAAAAGTAATTTATAGGTGTTATATTTTTTGCCCCACCAAGTGTTCGGGGTTTGGCTCCGCCCCTGACTTAAAGTGTATTATTTTTCTGAAACACAAGAGTACGGAATAGTCTAGCCTATAAAGCAATTATCTATTTCTATCACAACTATCAATTTTAACAACAAATAAAATATTAAAGTCAGATTGAAAGTAAAATTGTTTTTTAAGTCACACGTACCAAATTCCAATAATTCCTCATGCATAATCTCTTGATTTTAATTTTTAGCTTTCACTTTAAAAGACGTAAGAAATTGCCTTCAAAAAGAGAATAAAATAACACCAATAAGGGGAAAAAAACAAAAAAAAAAAAAAGGATCATAATAAAGTCAGTCCAATTTGGTGGTTCGTAGCTTCTAAATCAAGAATTTGAACACTTTGTTCAATTGATGTGGCAGAAGTGCAAAAAAAAAAAAAAAAAAAAAAAGGAAGGAAAAGTCCTCATAAATTATTCCCAAATCCAAAAGCTCAATCAAATGATTCATGACTGTTAAAGAAAGCCAATATGGCGCATGAGACCTTGTTGATTCCCGAATCGGGCATCTTTGGCGTTCCTCTTTTCTTTAATCACCATTTAACTTATATAATTTCAAGTATTAATTTTTTTTTTTGTTTTGCTTCGCACGGAGTGACGTAAGATTCGTAACGCCAGAAATCAATGTTAATGTAGTGTACTACCTTAACACCGGGGGTACTTGAATTATGATCACCAAAAGTAGTATCATTATACACAACATGTGAAGCTGAAAAAAATGGAGTTCACAATTAGCTAGTATATAATAGACCCCATTCTTTTTCCTAACGTAAAGCTTTAAATTGAGCTTAGGGTCCAAAAATATCACATTTTTAAGCAGACAAAAGTTATTGAAAACATAGAGCTTAGGCTCCTAAAAGTTATTGAAGAAATATGACCAAAAGATTGGGTAGATGGAAAAGTTAAAGAAAGGTATTAAGAGGAAATCCAAAGGGGATTAGGGGTGGAACTACTATATGGGAAGCGTGTTAAAGAAGTTGTAACTAACCACATCAGTTGACCAATAAGGTAATAGACCAATAGCTATCAAAAGCAATTAAGCAAAGAGTGATAATTTGATCACCAAAACTAACAGCAATAGATGGGGTTTTAGTTGTAAAGCTAAAAGCCAATTCAAAGGACCACTTCATTTTTACTTCTACCAAACATTAATATATTGAATATTTGATGCTCTTATTGTATTTTACTCTCTTCGTCCGGTTACAATTTGTTCGAAATATTCTAATTTTATAAAAACAAACACAACAATCATATTGAAAAACGCAAATGAAATTTATATGACCTAGTACTTTAACAACCATAGTAACTGTTATGAACCTAATTAAATATAGCCAGAGTTCAAATTAGCCTTGTTGGGAAACTTTTATTTCTCGGAATATTATCAATCAGGTTTGGATCCAAATCAGTCGGACACCAGCTAGTTTCCAACACACCAAACGTGTAATAATACCATTTTAATTTGGAGTCAAAATTTCTATCACATAGAAAAATGGCTGACCTGGATTTTGTTAGTTTAGTTAGTAGTTACCCGCCAAAATGTCTTGTCGTTCAATGAGAGCAGCCACGTCTTATCTTTTAACAATTAATATTTAAAAGCGTTATTTTTTTTCAGATTAAATGTCTCAATATGTGATTGACGGCGTGGCTTGTAAGGAAGCCAATCATAAGGATGCTTTTGTCATACTAAACTCACGTGTTCTCCAATTCTTCATTTCTTACGTATAATTATTTTCTCTTTTGGGAGAAAGAAAGAAAATTACTAGTACTAGATTGATCTAGATCATTGTGGTGACAGGTGTGCCACATCTTGAGACTTGTCCATAAAACTATCTCTATTTTAAAACAAAATGTAGTCACAAGATTATCAACTACAGATATTTAATTAGTTATTATATTATTAATCTTTAAAGTAATTTCTAATCGATTCAAATGAATACTCCCGTCAATAACATGTGTTGGTCAGTAGTTTGAAACATTAAAACGGGGTCGACATTTGGAAGTATGAAAAAAATCATAACAAATACGACCGTGCTATCGTACTAGGATTCCTATTTTCAAATAGTGGGAGAATGTTTACTATTTTCGTAATTCGCAAAAAAATATTCATCAGTTTGTCTTAACTGATTTGCTAATTGTATTAGTTACACTGTTATATTAATCTCTATTCAATTTTTTTTTTTTTGAAACGGTACCTGTATATTAATGCAAAGTACCTATACTATTACATTACAGTTTGGCATACGCTAAGTCATGTAGATCACGAACATCATTCCTACTAACTTTAATTAAAGTACAAGATTGAGATGTAGATTTTAATTGACGTAAACTAAATACTACATCTTGAGTCTCTGCGGGGAGAAAATCCAGCCTTTAATTCGTAGTCAAATAGTTCACAATCCGTATGAATGATTACGCTGACTAGGCCAAAATCTGAAGCCTGTTGGAGAGCCATAAGGCATGTCATAGCTTCAGTTTGAAAAGCTGATAGCGCGGAAAGCTGCACAGATTTAATTTGTTCAACAAAGGTATTTACATAATAATGTTTTATTTGGTCAATAATTTTAAACCGGTATTGGTTTCAAATTTACACTTTAAAAAGGATCATAAGCTCCTTACAACACTCTTATTTTCGAACATAATGTTTTCAAGTATTCAACGCTGTCTATTTTCAACTCAGAAATTAAAGCCTCAAATGAACATTTTAGGATGCTAAGGTTCAGTAACACATGCTATCAATAGATGTATGCGCAATGGATTAGCTTGGTCCACATACCTCTAAACCAAGTTTCTATCATTGGGCCGGACAACTGAAAGGGGACATTTTGCCAGTTTCATTTCACTTCACGTTAAATTTTCAATTCATTTACAACGCGGATTGCCCATCAGTAAGGCATTCCGTGTGTGTGATTTTAGGCAACTTCATTAATGTGCCTTCTTTTTGCTGGGAAGGGGAATCAAGGCATTTCGATACAACATATAACTCCCCTGTCTGATAACTATTTTCTCTGGACAGAGCCAGAAGCAGTATTGCATAAGATACAAATAGCTTCAAGAATTTCTGGTGAGAAAAACACCCATGAAAGCACACAGCAGTAGTGAAATTAAGTAGGAAACACCAAGAGGTAAACATGAGATGCAGCTTCTAGTACATATAATAGTAGTACTACCATAGTTAGCATTTCAAAGTTGGAAAAATTAGCAAATATCATCAACATCCATATATGCTCGAGACAAGCAGCTGAAACATCCTAAAGAGCAACTAAATCCACAGGTTTTGGAGATTTCTCAGCAAACTAGCAAGAGTTGTTCAGAGGAGAGACTTGTCAAGATCATCGAAATATGGATGTTCCATTGCCTTCTTTGCTGAGATCCTTTTGGATGGTTCATAGTGTAACATCTCCTGCCCAAGATGAAACCAAGTTCACCCAATTTATTATTGAATACTAGATTTAGGTGTTTGATGTTCCTGCGAGGGACTAATGAAGAGAAATGAAAATGTCTCAAAACTTACAGCTAAAAGGTGCAGCCCTTTGTCATCCAGATTAGGGACAGCTGATTTGAGTGGCTGAGGGCTCCATTGAGGAAACTCATGCCAGTTTGGTAATTTGCTCAATCCAGGCCACACATCTTCATTGGGAGTTCCCAATAACCTAAATCACCAAGAATGATTATAACTAACAATCTTTCCAACTCAATAGCAATGGATGAAAACTGAAGTGACAGTAATGATTGAAGCCAAAACCTGAAGATGTGCAGCAGTTGTTGAAGCTCGGAATCACCCATGAAAAGGGCTTGCTTCGTGACGAGTTCAGCTATTTTTTTTTGTAAGAAAACACAAACAAAAAGGGATAGTTTAGAATGCAGAATATACTCTATAATTTCTGTCAGATCTAAAGAATGTTTTGCACAAAGAGTAAAGAGTCAAATGTACCAAATATGCAAGCCACAGACCACATGTCCACAGCTGTGGAATAGTGAGTAGAACCCAAGAGCACTTCTGGAGCTCTGTACCAGAGAGTTAATATCTGAAAATGCAGCATCATATGGCATTAATCATACAATTTCAAACAGCTTCAATTACCAATTTACCACCATATACTATTCTGAAATTAACTAAAGAGATGAGCAGTGAGACACACCTCATGAGTATACTTCTTGATAGGCACAGTATAACTTCTGGCAAGACCGAGATCTGCAATTTTAAGCGTATTTGTCTTGCGATCCATCAAGAGATTGTGAGGCTTCAAATCCCTGAATTACAACAATTCTAGGCTCAATATGCTAACATGGCCAAAATGTCCCATTTGTTATAACAAAACTTCAATGACAATACAGGAGAGACAGACAAGCTACCTATGCAAAACGCCGTGCCCATGGCAGAAAGCAACTCCCTTACAGAGTTGATACATCAAGCTCTGCAGAAAAAGATCAATTTGCACAAAGGCATGTTATTTTAGACGTCTCTCATCTATGGAACAAAATCTAATTAAAGCACTGAAAGATTCCAACAAAAATCCAGCAAAGTTGTAAAAACCATACACATACCTTGACTGTTTGTGGAGGAATATCTCCCATCTGACGGTAACTTCGGATAAATTTCTTGAGGTCAGTGTTCATGTACTCAAACACCAAGTACAGAACAGTTTTTCCTTCCTTACTCAGGCCTTGTTTCACATCCAACAGCCTGTTTGTTGAAATGCGAAAGAGAATTCAACAATCACTTAAAAAAAAGAGGAAAAATACTACCAACTATACTCAAATCAACTACAAAATCAAAGACAATCGCTTCAAAAATTCACGAAATACGAACAAAAATTACCAATTAATTACCCTAAAGATCATATTTTACCAAGTTCCGGCAAGATTTCAAAAGGCCGCCGCACACATACCACACAATCCGTTCCCAATTAAGACGAATAAACTCAATAATTACAGATCAATTTGGGGGAAAACGTAACCTGACGACATGGGGACCTCTGGAGAGCATCCGGAGGATGGAAACTTCGCGAAGTGTGGTGGGCGGAACCCCTTCTTCATCCTCGTGAAGCCGGGTCTTTTTCAGGGCAACGATGTTGCCGGTGGCCTTCTCTTTTGCCCGGTAAACTTTCCCGTAAGTCCCTTCTCCGACTTTCTCAAGCTTCTCGTAACCGTCCATTTTCCGCCGATTTCTTTAGGGTTTCGTCCTCTACTGTGTGTGTGTGTGTGTGTGTGTGATTCTGATTTAGAAAGAAATGTCACGAAAAATTTGAAGAATGGGATTTGGGGAACTTATACAGCCAGTTGGAAAGACAACGGCTTTATTTTTTTGAAATTCGAAAACGCTCTCCACTTTGCGAATTGCCAAAAGTACCCCAAACGGCAGGCTCCAATTCAAACTGCATAGTGGGCGAATTTGCAGGGATAAATTTCTATACATAGTTTTTCAGCATTAATAAAAAAACTCAATTACAGAGTACTAAAATATTTACGGATATTACTATGTATGGGTTTCTCCTGTTTTATGTGACCAAAAATTTAATGATTTTTTTTTAATTCCTTTTAATTGAATCATAGTTACTATTTCAGATCAAATATTATGGACTAAAATAACATTTAAATAAGTAAAAAATCATTTTTATTTTTAAAGAAATTATAAATTCAACATTTTATACTATTAGTTGTTGGATTAGACACCTTTGAATGTGTCCTAGTACGAAAATATAACCCAAAAAAAAATGATGTTATAACTTGAGGGAGAAGGTGTAAAATGAAAATGGTGCTAAATTACAATTATTAGATATATGTGATCGGATTACTATTAATGATCATGTTAAAAAAAAACAAATTGATGTAATAACTTTTCTGAGAAGGGAAAAAATGTAGAATAAAATGATGCTAAATTATAATTATTAAATAATTTTGATCCGGCCACTATTAATAATCACATATACAAATTGCTAAGAACAAATAAATTATGAGTGACGATACATACAGAGAAAATTTAACAAGGAAAGTTATAAGAAACGATGTAGATGAATCTTAACCATTCTTTAACCCTTAAATGTATAATTCCTAAAGAAAAAGTTTAAGTATAAACGGTTATGCTTCATTCACTGTTTCAATTCCCTGCATGAATCATTATTCATAAACTATATGCATTTGTTAGAAATATATTTGAGATATATAGATGTAAGAAACAATAATTGTGCAGAATACTTAAAATCAAAATTATTATATTCCACCAAAAGAGCTCTCAAGTTTCTAGCAAATCAAGCTATTTTGTTTGGCCTCCCAACCCTAAAAGAAAAAATAAAGTTTTGTATTTTCATTTTAAAGTAGTTGTATCAATCTTTTGCATCATATAGTTATATCACAATTTTCATTTATTCTGATCACCTCAAACACTTTAGACAGAGACTCATTTAAAGAAAGAATATGTGTAAGTAAATAGTCTTAAACTAGGTTCTGGACTCGTGCATTTGCACGGGTACATGATAGACTAATATAATATCTTCACATCTAAAACATGAATTGTTTAAAGTGACATATATATATATATATATATATATATATATTAATATACAATTATACATATGTAGCTCTACTGCGATGTTATTAGTTAGATGTACGCTAAATTAGTTATCCCTCATTAATGCTATAATAATAAATAATTAATAGTTGTGCAAGGTTATTTTCTGCCTAAAGTTGATGTATGGTATATACATTACCTGTTGATAAATTGCTAGATTATAAACATGAACTGAAGAAAGCAAAAGTAGGTAAACAAAAATAATAAAGAAAAAAGCCAAATCATCTGCTAAGTTTGATCTCTCAAGTGAACCATGTAAGTAAACAAATCTAATCATAAATAAGATGATGTCGTATTGTAAAATACATAGATATAAGAGAAAAGCATGTCTTTTTTTCTTTTTACAAAAGTTAAGTTCAGTTAATGGTCAAAATGATGAATGGAGTCTCTAGGCCACACTAATCACTTTTCCCATTTTGCACTCGTCCAGTACATCAAAAGAAGTTTTATTACACTTGGCAATAGTGACAAAAAGAAATAAAGAGAAAGGAGTCAGGCCATGGCATCCTCGTTTCCACAATTCATACCACATAAATGATAAATTCAGATAGGTGACAATGGGAAAAAAAAAATTACCGTTTCATGAATGGGGATTTACTTTTAATGGGCTTCTTTTGGTTTTAGTTTTCTGAAGCAGACTTGTTGTCGCCGGCGGTTTGCCTCTTTCTGTGAATTCGATAGGCAAATTATCCAGTATACCCGGGGGCACCGTGCCCCCTCCTATTTTTTGTATTTTTAGCCCTTATTGTACTTTTTATCAATCTTTCTATATTTTACAAGTATAGTCCCTGTCATTTTTTCTCTCTCTTCTAAAAAAAACATTTCTAATCTTTCAACGACCATATCTCCCAATCCGTGAAGAATTTGTGAACGAATTATATATGAAATTTATAGTACTCGTCGAGATCTATCCAACAAAATCCATAATGAATATTTTTTCGGGCTTAAAAATGACTTAATTCTGATGGACAGAATAGGGGTGGATATCCAGTTTTACAAGATGGATAACCAACTTATTCTAAATTGGTTATCCATTGTGTTCATGGTGATTATCCAATCAGTTTAAACTGGTTATCCATTTTGTTTCTACTGCTTATCCATTTGGTTATCCAACTTCTTAATTCAAAATAAGTTGGTTATCCATCTTCTTAAACTGGATATCCTATGTGTTCATATTGATTATCCAATGCGCTAATACTGGTTATCCAATGGATTTACATGCTTATCCAAATTATTTGTATTGGTTATCCACTGTGTTCATATTGATTATCCAACTTGTTTGTACTGAATATCCATCCATTTGATTTGTATGCATATCCAACTCTAATCTTTCAACGAGCATATCTCCCAATCCGTGAAGAATTTGTGAACGAATTATACATGAAATTTATAGTACTCGTCGAGATCTATCCCACGAAATCCACAGTGAACATTTTTTCAGGCTTAAAAATGACTTAATTCTGATGGGCAGAATAGAGTTGGTTATCCATCTTTTTTTTTGAAGAGTGAATGTCAAACATATGATTGGATAACAAGTACGAACCGAATGGATAACCACTCCAAACCGGTTGGATAATCATCATGAACACAACGGATAACCATTTTTCAAAGAAAAACGAAAAACACGTTTCTTCATTTTCTGCTCGTAAACTTTAATGCATTTAAAGTTCAAAAAAATATTCAACATTGATCTTATCGGATAGATCTCGTCGAGCACTATAAATTTCATATATAATTCGTGTTATAATTCTTTACGGATCAAAAGATACAAGGAACACAACAATATGAATGTAAAATAAGTTGGTTATCCATCTTCTCAAACTGGATATCCAATCTGTTCATGTTGATTATCCAATGCGCTAATACTGGTTATCCAAGGGATTTACATGGTTATCCAAATTGTTTGAACTGGTTATCCAATGTGTTCATATTGATTATCCAATGCGCTAATACTGATTATCCACTGTGTTCATGCTGATTATCCAACTTGTTTGTACTGGATATCCACTGTGTTCATGCATATCCAACTCTAATCTTTCAACGAGCATATCTCCCAATCCGTGAAGAATTTGTGAACGAATTATATATGAAATTTATAGTACTCGTCGAGATCTATCCAACGAAATCCACAGTGAACATTTTTTCGGGATTAAAAATGACTTAATTTCTGATGGACAAAATAAAGGTGGTTATCCATCTTTTTTTTTTTTTGAAGAGTGAATGTCAAACATATGATTGGATAACAAGTACGAATAGAATGGATAATCAGTTCAAACCGGTTGGATAATCAGTAGGAGCATAACAGATAACCATTTTTCAAAGAAAAACAAAAAATGCATTTCTTCATTTCTACCCGTAAAATTTAAATGCATTTAAAGTTCAAAAAAAATATTCAACATGGATCTTATCGGATAGATCTCGTCGAGTACTATAAATTTCATATATAATTCGTGTTATAATTCTTTACGAATCATTAGATACAAGGAAAAGAATAATATGAATGTAAAATAAGTTGGTTATCCATCTTTTTAAACTGGATATCCAATCTGTTCATACTGGTTATCCAACTTATTTGTACTGAATATCCATCCAATTGGTTTGTATGCATATCCAACTCTAATCTTTCAACGAGCATATCTCCCAATCCGTGAAGAATTTGTGAACGAATTATATATGAAATTTATAGTACTCGTCGAGATCTATCCAATGAAATCCACAATAAACATTTTTTCGGGCTTAAAAATGACTTAATTCTGATGGACAGATTATCCAACTAATTAGTATTATTTATCCAACTTGGTTTTTGTTTTTATTATTTTTTTAAAAAATAATAAACTAAGTTGGTTATCCAACTCGTTTGTATTGGTTATCCAATCATTGGTTTGTATTGGATTATCCAATGCGCTAATGCTGGTTATCTAATGGATTTACATGGTTATCCAAATTGTTTGAACTAGTTATCCACTTTGTTCATACTGGTTATCCAACTCGTGCATAATGGTTATCCAACTTACTGGATATCCAACTTATTCTGCCCATCAAAATTTAGTCATTTTTAAACTCAAAAAAAATATTCGAAATGGATCTTGTTGAATAGATCTCGACGAGTACTATAATTTTCATTCATAACACGTTCTCTAATTCTTTACGGATTATGAGATATACTCGTTGAAAGATTAGAGATTTTTTTTTTTTGGAAGAGAGAGAAAAAAATCACAGGGACTAAACTTGTAAAATATAGAAAGATGGAGAAAAAAGTACAATAAGGACTAAAAATGTAAAAAATAGGAGGGGGGCACGGTGCCCCCGGGTATACTGGATACAGCCTCGTATTCGATGCTGTTCGACAGTGCTATTTGCTGTTTCCAGATTTTGCATTAATGAATGATTTTGAATAAGATTGACGGGATTATCGCCACCGGGTTAAGGGGATTCATAAGTGGCGGATGGAACTAACCACACGGTTTGAAAAATTGGAGGAAGCAATTAATCGTTTCAATTAATTTTAGTTAGTCTTGAGGAAGCGGTTACTAAAGATGATAAAAACTAATCGAGAAAACATTTGAATTGTAATAAGGAAAAGAGTTTTGGATTGTTTGGTAAGATTCACGTCAACAATCTGTCATAGGGTTTTAATTAGATTTAGGTGAAGAATCTGTAATGGGATTTAATCAT